TAATAATAATAATAATAATAATAATAATAATACGAGTGACAATCTATGGTTACAATACAAATGTGTCATAGAAATGGGTATTATTCATTAGTATCATCATGTTATCTGGGAAACTGAAAGGCAATTGCTCCGAGAAGGACCTTTAATGCCTTGTTTCAAAGGAATAAATAATGCAGGCTGTCAGAGGGATATCAGCTTGCTCAGGATGTCCATCCTTCATGGAATAAAAGAGGAGAAAAAAAACCTTAATTTGAAGATTAAACCAACTCATAAAGTAAACCGGAGCTCATTTGCAAATTAATTTAGCGAGGCTCATCCTCCCCCATTGAGTTTCTCTCATAAATCAGAGTCTTGGTGGTGGTCAACGGGAGGAAAGAAAGAAAGATTTTGACAGTAATAATTTCAGACAAAAGGGAGAGAAAAAGATAAGCCTAAATGAGACTAAAAATACAGGAAAACTTGTAAATAATAGTCTTTCTTCCCTTTAAAAAACAACAACCCAACCCTGACTTTTCTGCTCCAGATATGAACGTGTTTTCAAGTATAGACTGAAAGTATCTCTTATACGGAAATCTGAAATCCTCCGAAATCCAAAATTGTCCACCTAGCAGGCTGAAATAGTGACATCTTTGCTCTCTAATGGTTGAATGTCCAGTCATCTCTTCCGATTTGTGGAGGATCCATTCTGGGACCCCCTGCGAATCAGAAATATTGCAAATATTCAAGTCCCCATAATGGCCACCCACTCCATGCGCGGTATCTCTCTTGCGCCATTTTGTTGCTCCCCGCTTGCCATCCGCGAAGGAGCAAGACCGCAGACTCCAAGTTGCAAATGGGGAGGTACGACTGTACTCACATTATGTTCCATGCACAAAATTATACCAAAATGTTGTGTATAATTTACCATCAAGTTAAGTGCCTAAGGTGAATGCGAAACATAAATGAATTGGGTATTTAGACCTGGGTCCCATCTCCAAGATATTTCATAATGTATATTCAAGAGGACCACCATGGCATATGGGTTTGAGTGTTGGACCATGACTCTGGAGACCAGGGTTCGATTCCCAGCTTGGCCGTGAAACCCACTGGGTGACCTCGGGCAAGTCACACTGTCTCAGCCTCAGGAGAAAGCAACGGCAAACCTCCTCTGAACAAATCTTGCCAAGATAACCCAATGATAGGTCTTCGGTAAGACTAGGTAGTCTTACTACATATAAAGAGAGCCAGTGTTGTGTAGTGGTTTGAATGTTGGACTACGACACTGGAGACCAGGGTTCGATTCCTTGCTTGGCCATGGAAACCCACTGGGTGATCTTGGGTGAGTCACATACTCTCAGCCTCAGGAGAAAGCAACAGCAAACCTCCAAAGAAATCTTGCCTAGAAAACCCCATGATAGGTTCTCCTTAGGGTCGCCATAAGTCAGAAACGACTTGAAGGCACACAACAATAACAACAATAACATATGCAAGTATTCCAAAATCAATAATGCTACAATGGTCCCTCCACATTCGCTGGAGTTAGGAGTGAAGTACCCCCATAAATGTGGGGGGAAACGCAAATAAAAAACCCACTATTCTTTTTTACCTAAGAGAACACCTCTCTAGGGATTTCCAGGTCCTCCAGTGCAACTCTATGTGGTCAACATATAATTTTATTTTAAGGGGTGGGTGGGTTTGTGGGATTTGTATTGCATTTGTATTGTACTTTTAATGTTGTAAGCCGCCCCGATTGCATCCGCAGAGGGGAGGGAGAAAAATTATCATCATCATCATCATCATCATCATCATCATCATCATCATCATCTGCCAGAGGTTGATCACAGAATCATGCTAGAAGATCTACAAATTCCCAGAGAAGTGTTTTCGCTAAGAACTTCTAGGTTCTCCAGCAAAACTCTATGGTCAACTTGCGTTGAGTTGGAGGACCTAGAAATTCCTAGAGAAAACATATTAATAAAAACCACAAATAATCAGATCTGCAAAAGTTAAATGTGGAGGGCCAACTGTAATAATAATAATAAATAATAATAAATAATAATAAATAATAAATCTTCTGATTTCCCACCATCTCCACTGGCACACTTTTTCCAGAGAAGTGTGCCAGCCTGAATCATATTGAGTCCCTTAATGTTAAGGCAGGAGTTTCATAGATGCATGCCCTTTGCTCCCAAACGAACCATCAACATGAACCAGAGAGGATGAAGAAACAGATTCATAATATTCCCGGGCAACATAAAGACATTACAGTCACCCTTCCGTTCTCGCAGACTTGAAGTCTGGGGTTTTGCACATTCACGGAGGGGCAACCTCTGTTTAAATTAATGGAACGCGCGCCATTCAAGCCTATGGGGCTTAAATATTTTGCAAATTTTCATTTTCGTGGGGAGAGTTTGGAACGGATCTTCTGCAAAAACAGAGGGCCGACTGTACTCCCTGCTTTTCTTCCAAGATGAAGCCACAATCACCACCTGCGTTGCATATTCCCATTTGCGCTCATTGGTTTCAATGAGCTTATGCGTCTGTGACCATTGCGATGGCTCATGGTGATAGAGCTTAGATTTATCTCCTGGCGCCATAGGCACCTCTCAGCCTTTTTCCCCTCTGTTATCTGTTTACACACAGGAGGCATTTTGTATTCGGGTACAAATGCAGTACATACAAAGAGCTAACCCATCTAGAGCTATCTCAATTCCCACCTTATCCATTTTAATGAAAATGACCTTTATCTATGCTAATTCCTTGATTTTCTTCCCCCTCCAAAATGTGACAATGCTTCAGAGGATGGAGTCAGTGTGTGTCATGGGGTTGACTCATTTGTGCCTCCGTCTTGGCTGCATCATGGTTAGCTGGATAGCTGGATCTCCAAAATATGTTATATATCAAACCCCCTTATGGGGAATGACAAGAAGTCAGGGACTGTTGGTCGATTCCATATCCGTGGGGCATTCAATCCAGTCTGGGTCTTAGTTCAAACTTGGAAGGAACTAACCGCTGGGTGACTGTGGGAGCTAGCATCCCCAAAAAGGAACTTTTCCAAACTGTGAATACTGGGGAGTAAGAGTAGAGAGATGCATAGGGCAGTGCTGTGGAAGGATTTGGAGGCAATGACAGGCACACCTCAGTTAAAGCCTCTGACAAAAGATCATAGAATCATAGAATCATAG